ATTACATAACAGATGTTTAGGCTTGTAAGAACATCAGCTGGTATTGCTCCCCTCTGTGCTAGAATTCCTGAGATGCACTCCTAATGTGTGAAGTACTGCTGAGGGACAGCTAACATACAAGATATACTCCATAGCTTAAAGTAAACATTCACTCCTTCCATCATCAGCACATGCAATCTCGAGGATGCCTACTCAGCAGCACCACTTAAATCCTAAAACTTGCAACTGTTAGATGGAATTCTTGATCTAATAGCGCTGTGAAAGTGTATTCAGTGCATAGAGTGCAGTGGTGTAAGGGAAGAAGATATGTAGTTTTCTCATGTGCATCTAGAAATGCACAATAAATGCTGGGCTTGCTTATTATACCCATAGTCAAGAATTAATATAAATAAACAATGGATTATTGAAAGACCAGACTGTGATACATGAAATCTCAACAAGATAGGGTATAAATGCAGATGATTGAAAGCTAAATTTAAAGCAGTAGGTATACATTTTGTTAAATTGCAATGAACATTTGGAAAAATTATCATACAGGTTAATGGAGAAAAAATATTGTGGTTATTCAACATGCAATTATCAGCTGTGAAAACAAGTTATACATTTTCTAGCCATTCATAGTCTTTTTTTGAATAAGTGAAGCTGTCTAAGAAGGCTTAGGTGGTGGATGGAGTGCCAATTGAGCAAATAATATTGGCCTGGATAGTCCGGGCATGAAGTGAGTATCTCAGCAGCCTCAACTTGTGTTTAGTAGATGATGGCAAGGCTTTAGGAATTTGGGAGCTGACTGCTGGCTGGGTCAAGAAACTACAGCATTTTGGTCCAGGTCGAGTTGCTAGTCAATTTCAATGGTAGAAGATTCAAAGATAGTCATGTCAACAAATGACAAGGAAAGGTAGTTAGACTTTTGCCGTTAAGTAGTGACTACCTAGCACTTGTGTATAAATCTAACTTGCCACTTGTGACTCAAGCAGATGGTAATGAAAAGAATCTTTCTAGCAATAAGCACTAAAGCAGTGAGTTCTAATGGTCCAACCTTTCTCATTCTGAGCTTTAAATGACATAGATTCACAACAATATTTTCAGAGGTGTCAAATGTATCTGATCCCTGGTAGATCATGAAAAGGGGATGATCACTCTTATCGGAGAGTAACTAAGTCATGATAGTGAAAGAAGAAGCAGAATATCAGAGAATAAGATTCTTCTACACAAGTCCTAGCAGCTGGCCGAGTAATGGTACAGAGAAATTCAAGTTTATTTTGAAATTGCATCAAATTATTTAATTTAGTTATCAGGATAATTGAGAGCACAATATTATGATTTTCATTAGCCGCAAATTGTTCCATGGAAGTTTGTTGGCCAGCTTTCAGTGGGTCCTACCAGAACATTCTTTTCATAAACAACATTCTGGCATGTAAACTCAACCCACAGAGCAAGGAATAAACAAAGTCATATGAACAGACAGATTAAACTGCACAAAGGCAGACATTGTTGAAAAATGTTAATTCATTCTAAGGGGAAGCATTATTACTAGAATTGTACAGAATGTACTCAGATAATATAAGACCCAAGGTTTAAAACTTTAAAACTTCAAACTTAAAAACTTTCTTAAGTTTAATTTATAACTTAAAGGATGGGGATACGGTCGAACTCCTATTTGCCAGTTTTTTGGCATCTCATGATCTCCAGTAATGCTTGATTGTCCCTACTCCAATTGTGCAACTTAACACAAATTTGGAATTTTGATACTTCTCAAAGACAAGCAGTGTTATAGTCTATTTGAGTGAGACTGCAATTGTTTCCAAATATTAATTGTTTCATTTGGAAATAAACCAGAAAACCAACAAAACTCAAGCCTACATCCTACATGTAATATTTAACCTTAAAGCAAAATCGAATTTTGGCTACTGGCATTGACAATATCATTTGTAGAAAAGTCCGGTATGAGTAAGGTTATCATAAATAAAGAGATAAGAGGGTATAGGGAATAGGTGGAGATGTGGAGCAATTAGATCAGCCAGCATCTTACTGGCTGGCGGAGCAGCATGAGGGACCAAGTGACCGACTCATGCTGCTAATCCATATATTCGCATCAGTAAGCATCTCACTTTGTTCCAAAGTTCAATCACTGGTATGTGCCCAGTCAGCATCACAAGATATTGACTGCTTTAACAATTACCAACTTGTTAATTTAAATTTTTTAAATTTGAGCTAATTTTTACTGTTAATATTTGTATCCTCTTTTTGGAGGATGGAGGAAGTGGGGCACTTTGTAGTTACTTCGGGCTTTGCTGACCAAATACAAGATTGGATACAACAACGTAGTGATTCATATTTTATTAGCTAAAGCAGAGTTCAAACCTTCATCAGTAAATATTTATATTTTAATTAGCTTATTCAGACATGTTAGGATACACCTCTATGACAAGTGGGACTTAAACCCAGACCTTCTGACCCAGTGGAAGGAGACTACCAATCTGCCACAAGATCCTAAATTATTTTCAATGAACCTGTACTGATGTATAATGATATACCTTCAGGATGGATAGGACGTAAGCCCTGGTGTAGGGATATTACCATTGTGCCACAAGAACCCCTAACCTTTGTCCTGTATGTGCGCAGATAGTTCTCCAATCAATAGTGCAACCAGCCTCCAATACTGGAGCAAATGTTACTTTGGAAGACTTATCATGTACCAGTGAATCATATGTATTTCTAGCATTTCCTTTGGTTCCTTTCAGATTACCAGCAAACAGAGATTTTCTTACTGTGTCTTTCTGGGGAATGAATGTGTTCAGATACAGAAAATTAAGCCTAAGCCTTTGGTCCTCATGACGTGCCTTGACGTTACAGAGAAAATCAATATTCCCATTAACTTTCCTTTATTTCAATTTGCAGATAGTAACAGAGCTTACTGTTCCAATTTAGGATTTATTTGTCAAAAAAACTTATTATTTACCATTAATTGCACGAATGAAGTGTGTTAATTAGTTATATATTTATGTGTATACAGATTCAATGTAAGACCTTAAGAAATAGGTGCGGGACAAGTCCAGTCAACCTTTCCAGCCTCCAAAGATCCTCAAGCTCATCTTCACTTTCCTTAAAGTCCCCATCTCCCCATCCACAACACCCATCCTATCATGTCCTTTCATTCCATCAACTTGGTCTTGAATATAGTCTACAACTAACCATCCGTAGCCTTCTCAGATGGAGATTTCCAAAGGTCCACAATCCTCTTAGCAAAGAAAGTTCTTTATAACTCAGTTTGAAATGGCTGTCCCCTTATTCTGATATTATATCCCTCCCTTTCCTCTTTATCATATAGATATATATATGTTTATTTTCTTCCACTTTATCATATAGATAAACATGTTTATTTATCTTCCACTTTATCATACAGACCTATGTGTTTGTTACCTTCCTCTTTATGATATATATATATATGCACACAGAACAATTGGGTACATTCCTAATTGTTATGAGGCAGGCAACACATCCACAAAGATAGTAGGAAAGATTGATTTGAGTGGTGAAACTCAAATGTTAAACAAATATTTTAGTCAAACGCATAGGAAAATGCCACAACTTTAAGAATACTTTGCACAGAACATACCTCTGATAGTCCAGATTGTACCCAGCTTGGCATCCTGAACAAGGATGATGGCATTCGCCAGTAGAAGGGGAAGAAGTCAGGATCAAGGTTTTCCCCAAAATGCTGATCATAGATACGGGAGGGGAAGAGGAAATTTGGCAGGAGGGAACGCCGTAGCCATGGAGTCTGAACTGCAATGTCCATCTTCACTTTCCTGTTAAGTTAGCAGGATGTGTATCAGTGTAGTTGCGCTGTCTTCAGTCCAGGGGCTGGTTGAAGGCCAGTTGGTGTGTCAGTCCTTTATATACACAATGACGCCCAACGTGTTGAACTTTCTGGAAAACTGATGCAAGGCTGATTGACTCTGTCATGTGATTTCATTGTTTAGGGATTTATGTTTTAGGGGGGAGGATTAGAACTGACACAAGCAGTGGACCAGTCTCTGCATTGCTGGATAAAGCTCTGCTGATCACTCTCTTCCTCTGCTGGCACTGCTTCAGAATGCCACAGAAGATGACCTCATGGCATTTCAATAGGAGACCATTGTATTGAGAGGAATATTATGTTGTTTCGGGTTTTGTTTTAAAAAATGAATGATTAAAGATTTTAGTTCCTTTTGTGTCTCTGTGTGATGGGTTATCTGAACGTTGAATTTAAACATTGAAGATGGCAAACAGAAGGATTGCAGTTCAGAAATAGACTCCCAGTGATAAGCCTCTGATGTCAACTTTCTGGGTATGTGTAGTTTCTGGCAGTGGCTGAATGTTTAACAGAGAATTATCTGGACTGAGCTATTCCATTCTCTCACCGTGTTTTATGTCCTCCAGAGTCTTTGGAAAGTAAGGAAGACTGGAAGTGAAATAATTATCTCATAGGATAATTGTCTCATTTCTCCATACTGAAAAAAATCAAATTAACCAGAGCAAATTAGCTATTTCAGAAGATGCTGGATTCCTTATAACTCCTTCCAAAATTGGAATGTAAAGTTAGTCCAGTACTTACCCTTCTTATAATTGCCCTTAGTAAGGACCGAAGTCGCTAACAGCTTGTAATATTAAAATGTGCATTACACTAAAATTAGTACAAATGACTACGTACTTGCAGATAGAATTATCCATCACAAAATAACTTTTAATCGCCAACTTTAAAAATGTTTCGTTATATTTATTTTCATTGGGACATTTGAAGCATGGTTTTAAAGTTTTTAAAAAAGTTTTCTACAGAATTGACACTGCGCACATAGCTGGTCAGTTCAAAGACGAGTCTGCCTCAACTTGAAAGCCAGTGATAGATAGTTGTGATTTCACGTGGTTTGGAATGAAAGTAACACTTGGATAATACTTTTCTCTATCCAGCTGCCTCATGGTCATCCAGGAGGACTCCCTCTCTCGCTTTGTCCCTCCCACGGAAACAGACCCGAGTAAATTACAGGAGTTCTCGTTCTATTGGTGAATCCTTACTGACCAAAAGTAGTTCAGTCATTTTTTAAAAATTTCTTTATAGATGAAGTGTTGTTGGTAACACAATAATATGTAATTTTGACCCTTCGTCTCCGCATGTTTATAAACTTTTAATTTTATAGGAACAGAGAATGCTGGAGAAACTCAGCAGTTCTGGCAGAATCTGTTCGAAGGGTTACTGGACTCGGAATGTTATTTCCCTGTCCACAGCTGCTGCTTTCTCTGTTTTCGTTTCTGATTTCCAACATAGTTCTTTGTTTTATTTCATTTTACAGGTCGTCCTGAGTGGATTCTGTATTCCCTAACCAGAAGACAATGTGAGCAACCCACAACCAGGGCAGAAAACAGTATCTTGGAGAGAAAGCAGAGTTAACGTTTCGAGTACAGTGACTTCTTGGGATGATGCCAGACCTGACGAGTTTCTCCAGCAATTGCTTGTTCTGTTTCAGATTTCCAGCAGTTCTTTGTTTTATAAGAACAAGGTCCAGGGTGTAATAGTGGTGAGTTTGTGTGTTTCCCAGAGTAGATTTCCAGTGGTTTAGGAACGCTCCCATTCTTTCTCAGTGTCCTGGTCTATTTCCGTCCTAGTTTAACAGCCCCCTCCCTCAGGAATGTCCAGACAGAAACCACACGAAGCTTCCTGAGACGGAGTGACCTCAGTATTGCTGCTGGGTCAGGCTAAACAGACCAGTGTGTTTGGTGTTGGGCTTCTCTGCTCGCTGACCCCTACAATGGAGGACAAGACCATCCCACATGCTTACCCGATGAGTGTAGAGTACGAGAAAGAGACACCGACAATTATCCACGACCAGAACTTCGGGGAAGGTAAGTTTATTTCGGCTTTTGACAATGAAGTTGTGCGTGACCATTGCAGCCCTGTCATGCACAGCTCTGTGTATTTCAATAGGTTCGAATCCGGGCTAAGTGAATTTCTCAAAAATCCACTGCTTGTAGTTGGAGCTACAGTAAACAGCCCCGTGTGTTTTGGAAGGACATGTGAAATCTTAAGTGAACTCGTGCTAGTTACAACTTTAAAAAGAAACAGTGCTGGAGAGACTCAGCAGATTTGGCAGCATCCGTGGAGAGAGAAACAGAAGTAACGTATCGAGTCCAGTCTGCCTTTTCGCGGTAGTTACAGGTGATGTTGTACCCTGCTTAACGCGCCCTCCTCTGAAAGTGCAGTTCAGCAGACCATGCGTTCAAGAGCTGCTAACCACATCTTCCAGAGTACACCCTACAGCCTTCCGATCTCTGCTTTAAAGCCAGCACTGTATTCCCTGGACCCCACTATCCTCCAAAAATGATCAGAGCTGTACAGTCTGGAGGTGGCACTGAATGGCTAACATGTGTGTGTGGTGAGGGAGGGGTATGTGCGTTTGTAAATCCGCAGATTACAATTCTGGGCTGTTTGTATACAACGTTGTAACTCCCAGAACCCAGGGACAAGATTACACCCACTAATATCCAGGATGTGTAGAGCGTTAAAACAGCACCATTAAGCTAACAACATTTGAATTCAAAAAATCTTTTCCTCATTGAATAGCATATCATACTTTTGAATTTAAAGTAAAGGTTTTTATTTTAAAAACATCGCGTTAACTTAAATATAATGTAGTTGTATAGTCAGTAATAAAGCTACACCTCTATGCCTTACAGTTTGATAACCTCCAATACATTTTTCAGGTTTGTCACCAGAAGATATTTTAGCTCCTACATTATACCATGGTTACTATATCAGACCCAGAATCAATAAGCAGCTGGACAGAGGCTTTTCAAGAATTGAAACAAAGCATCATAAATTTCAGGTATTTCTGGATGTCTGTCAGTTCCTGCCGGATGAGATCACAGTCCGGACAGTGGACAACCTTCTGGAAGTTTCTGGAAGACATCCGCAGAAACTGGACAGTCATGGGTTTATCTCCCGGGAATTCACCCGTACCTACATCCTACCCCTGGACGTGGACCCTCTGCTTGTTCGGTCATCACTGTCCCATGATGGTATCCTGTGCATCGAGGCGCAGAGAAAAGGAGATGAGATGCAACCCAAAGTAAACCACGTGAAAATCAATGTGGAGTCAGCACCCGTGGTAAAGGACCCTGGGGAAGATATCAGAAGAGAGCAACAGAAGGATAAGTAGCTCCTGCAATAGGATGGGAAGATCTTCAGTGATTGATTTTGATAGCAGATTCTCTGCTGAAACACCTGAGTCTACTCTAGAAAACAGGGAGAAATATTACAATGATTGGGCTACAAGTAAGTTATCAATTAATTAATGTTGCAAATAAACCTAAAAAAAGACTAGTTTTGACATATTTTAATATCTTCTGTATTTATAAAGCTAGAAACCTACTTATTAATATTAGACGCAAATGAGATCTGATGATTAGTGTCATTAACTCATGCCTTTATTGCCCTTTGCTCCTGTTCTCTGGAAGAAAATGACACATATTGGAGAACATTTACAAATGTGCCCCCAGCTATCTTCCCAGGTTCTTCACACTTTCATGGCTCAGCCTGACTTGCCAGCTAAGGATCCATCTCTCCAGTTTAACTTTCAGGACTGTTGAGCCTGTCTCCTTTTACATCTGTTAGCTAAAGAAGTACCTACGAGGAATTGAGTCTGGGACCTACCTGGTCTCTGCAACTGGCACTGCACTACTTTCCTCTGAGCTATTGGCAAATCCCTTCTGCCATTCCTGATGTACAGCTTGATGAACCACATGTATTAATAAACATTTTGACAACTAATATATCCAAAATGTGTCTATTTCATGCCTGTAATGACAACCCTTATTGCTTTTTGGCTGCAATTTAAAAATGGCACTGAAATAATTGTTTGGGGAATGCTCTCAGCTGTTTCTTTCGTGTAACTTATCAGCTAAAGAAATTACATGGGACAGGTCAAGCATTTTTCAAAACGATGACAGTAAATTTTCATTGCCCATAATACAAGACTTTGTGTTCAGAGTTAAATCACTTAAGGGCTATTTTTAACCTGCAACATTGGTGGCAAAACAAGCAGTCTGCATTGTACTTCTGGTATTTAGCCCACGTGATTTTCCAGTGGGGTCTTCAATCGTCTTTCAGTCATTAGCATCAGTTTTCCAGCACCGCTAGAAATTAAGATTAGCTCTGCAATCTATTATCCCTAAAAATATAATTCGGTGTTTAAAAGCTAAAATGACCAATGACAGAAATCCAAAATACAAGTATAAAATACACAATAAGTTCAGCAGCAACTGAGAAGAGAAATTAGAGATTGATATTTCCAGTGGTGATCCTTCAGTGGATTTGACCAAGGTTTTCTGCTAAAATGGGACTCTATATTTTGCTACTCAAATTGCAGACCAGGGAATTCTCCTGAAAGGGGGTGCCTTTGACTATCAAGTGATGTTTTAATTTCTAGTGCCTCCTGTATCCTTTTCTCCTGACTGAGGTCAGGAAATTGTTCGTGTGGTTGCCATTATAGAATAAATTATCCAGCTTTTTGCAAGTGGAGGGTCATGCTTGAAGTGTGAGTGCTGATTGAATTGGTGCTACCTTATTTCAAATCCTTATTAATTGCACTATGGCTGAAAACTTGTGCTACTATTCTCCAAGGAGCGTGCTGCTACATCAATGTCCCATCCACTCCTTCCCGTGACCACATTCCTCCCCAAGTGTAACACAGCCTTTGGTAGCTGCATCGGTTCATACAGCCACCTATGGACTCACTCTGAGGCTGGAAGAGAGTCATCCTCATCTGTGAGGGACTAACAATGAATGAATTATTCTCCACTCCTTTCTTACGTGTAAGTATATTGTAACACAGTAAAATAAGTGACAGCCTTGACTTCAATGCAGCTTTATCCTGTTTCCGATGGCACCTTCATCGGGATTCTTGTAGCATGTAGAACACTTCACAAAGGGTTTTCTGCAACTCTCTTTCTAACCCTAACAATTTCTTCCAGTTTCCTCTGTCTTGGAGGTGATTTTCTCTGTTTAGGCAACCTTGCATATTTTCCTGTGCTTCGGCTCTGGACAGACATCAATAATTCTTATTTTGTAAGATGCCGATGTTGCAGACGTTATGGAGAAATGCTTTAATTCCTCCTAAATGAGGTAAAAACACAACTAATGTGGGTTATGTGTTTTAACAGGCATTATATCTGTTTTCTCCATAAAGTGAAATGGGGATAAAGTCAATTAAACACATTCCATTTTAACAACAACAGCACAATTACATCAACAAATGAAACTCCTAATGGATTCAAAATCACCTTCTGCTATTGCATTGCATAGATTACAGAACAAGATATCAAAACAACAGTAAATTCGTCAATTGGAAGTGACTCCTCCATAAGTAGGATTGCCAAGTATTATATATATCATCTATTGTAGCTCCATACCCAAGTTTTAAAATAATTTTTAACATGTCTTTATAGACATACCACTTTTTGGCCCTGATCATGAAATGTTCAATATTGTTAATATAAAGTGGTTTCTATCCTTTTTAGTTCTGAACTTCATTTGCAGCTCTTAAACTGCCTACCTTCTCATTCCAAAGTAAAATCCAGAAAATATTTTGCCTTCTGTATTTTTTAAATGCGTATGTACTGCATAAAGTAGAATAAGTGAAATATATAGAAATGGAGGACATTTCAATTTAGTATAATGAACAAAATATTATTACAATCACGGTCCACATTTATCTTGGACGCAAATGCTATGAGATTCTGATTAACCATATTATGCAAATTGAACTTTATATGAAACTTTGAAATGAGTTTAGAAAAAAATGAATAAACACATTTTTTTAAAAAATGAAAGTAATTCAAATTGTGCATTTAAGTATTTTCTTTCATTTAATCAGAAGAAAAATGAAAGATGAAAATAAAAATTTAAAGAATAATATTAATTACAATGTCTGGATAAGTTGGTTGCTTATTTTCCCTACTGCCTGGTGTTATTAAGAAACAAAACTGTATCAATTACAACTTCTCATGTCTTAACATTTAGATATGTTATTAACTTTCATTTGATTCAACTTACATACTGAAAATGTGCTTTTATTGCAAGATAAAATGGCATCTTGCATAATCGCAACAAAGCAGGTCTACTAAAGAAAACTTAAAGATAACAAAGTTGAAACATGCATGACCCAAGAGGTACAGCAATGTAATTTTCAAACTTTGCAATGACTACTGGTCTTCTGACTTTCTGACAAATCTAAGTGACGCACTGTCAGTGGTCGAGGGATAATGGCTAACTCATTGACAGAAGGAATGATACTGTACTTGCCTGATTGGCAACTAATTTTGTTTTAGCTACTACCAGGTATGACCATTGCTTACCAATTTCTTTCCTCTTGGATAACCTTCGTAACTGTTATTTTTACTATGCCTTGAATCTATCTAATTTTGCGAAGAACATTTTCTAAAAGGAATATACCCCAAGGTAAGGTTTTGCAATAACCTTGGCTGATTTTTTTTTAACTAGAGTATTTAATTTCACCCTATTAGGTTTTCAGTGTTAATAATTGTAGTGAATCAGATGATGCACCAATTTATATTTACAAAAGTGGATGTCACCATTATCATTAAAACTAAATTAGATAGTCACTTGGATGAAGACTGAAAGAATTTGGAGAAAGAATGAGACAGATACAGGTGGAGAAAAATGCTAAAGCACATTGTTTCTACGCTATATAAGTCTCTGACTCATTATCATAATTAAAGTATGCTTCAGTCGTCCTTTATAGTTAAAAAAAAACTTCTATAAATAAACAGTCTGAGATCAGAGCTTAATTGGTATTTTGTAAAGGGAGCTTGCAGATTGGAATGTGCTTGTAAATTTTCAGCTCCAGTTCTAAAAAACAGCACGAGGTGACTGACTGTTGATCTATTTATGTGCATTTATCACATTGGGGACAATTTAAAATTAGCTCACCAGATGGGAAGCACACAGGATCATGGTGAATATTGATCCTATATCTGCCCAATAATGCTCGTTGACGTCAATGGAGAGTAAAATCAGGTGTTTCAGGATATTTTGCATCCACTCCTGTATTTTTCCTGAATTAATGGGATAGGTTAAAATTGTGCAGAGTTTGATGATGCTCTCAAAGTTTTTGAATATAGTGGAATAATGTTTTAGATTTTCTTTCAACTAGTTGTTTAGACTCCTTTTCCACAGTGAAACAGGAGAAAGGCATAACATTGTCATATCTGGTTATAGTTCCTAACTCTCATCTACCTTTCCCACATCTTGTTATTTTGTAGCACAGCCGCATCAATAAAGTATCTTTGAAAAATTACAATGTGAACCCTTGATTTATTTTTATTGCAAATGTGATGTTTTTGTGAACCTTAAATTATGAATATTTCCCTGTCCAATTAAGAGACAATTCTTTTCCACAATTAAGATCACACAGCAGAGATGACAGTCAATTTCTCTTGATTCTCTTCCATGCCTGAAGGTGCATGGGACAAAGTGTGCAGTGCAGTTCCTGTAGCTTATTTCTTTCTGGAATAGGTCACTAGTCTGACGTAAGAGGCTATGACTTGGGGATTGGTCACACAGTATCACAAATCACTGACCAGGCTGTTGCTGCCTATCCATGGAGATATTGGTAGGATTTGCATGTTTGACAAAGCAATGTGTACACCATCTTTGGCCATCAAATTCTGAGGTGGGACTCAAACTAGAGTTTCTGGCTCTGAGGCAAAGGGGCTACCCACTGCACCATGAAGCCCTGCTAGCTAGTAGAAAGTGTCAAAAAAAATTATATTTTCTGATCTGTTGGTGATTTGTTTCCTTGACTTACATTTCACCCTCCTTTGGTCTTTTTCTAAATCAGAACAATTACTCCCATATCCCTGACTATGATAGCCTGGAACAAGCTGCCAAGAGATATATGAGGCCAGTGTGGGATGTTTTATCCATGATAGTCGATTCCTTCCTGTGGGCAGATATTCAACCATCACTCAATGCCCCTCTCTACTCAGTCCAATAGATAACAAAGAGACGAAGGTAGGTGAGGACCTGGAAACAATCATAATTACGGAAGAGGTAGTGTTGGGCAAGCTAATGGAACTAAGGATTGATAAGTCTCCTGGCCCTGATGGAATGCATCGCAGGGTACTAAAAGAGATGGCGGGAGAAATAGCAGGTGCACTGGCGGTAACTTTCCAAAATTCGCTGGACTCTGGGGCAGTCCCAGCAGATTGGAAAACAGCAAATGTGACACCACTGTTTAAAAAAGGAAGTAGACAAAAGATGGGGAATTATAGACCGGTTAGCTTAACCTCTGTAGTGGGGAAGATGCTTGAGTCTATTATCAAGGAAGAAATAGCAAGGCATCTTGATAGAAATTGTCCCGTTGGGTAGATGCAGCATGGGTTCATGAAGAGCAGGTCATGCTTGACAAATCTTTTCGAATTCTATGAAGACATTACGAGCGAGGTGGACAATGGGGACCCAGTGGATGTGGTGTACCTAGTCTTCCAAAAGGCCTTTGACAAGGTGCCGCACAAGAGGCTACTGCATAAGATAAGGATGCACGGCATTAAGGATAAAGTATTAGCATGGATAGAGGATTGGTTGACTAACAGGAAGCAAAGAGTGGGGATAAATGAGTGCTATTCTAGCTGGCAGTCAGTGACTAGTGGTGTGCCTCAGGGATCGGTGTTGGGACCGCAATTATTTACAATTTATATTGATGATTTGGAGTTGGGGACCACGTGTAGGGTGTCAAAGTTTGCAGATGACACTAAGATGAGTGGCACAGCAAAGTGTGCAGAGGAC